TCTATGTAAACATATTGCCAGGATATGCACGTCGATGTTGTTGCTGTGGGTTGTATACAGCGAAATACGCAGCTGGCTCTCGCGCCGGCTCAACTTCCTGCTTCTAGGAACACCTGGAGGAGAATATAAAATCTACATAAACATAATGCCTGCATATGTACGTCGATGTTGTTGCTGTGGGATGTATAATCGAAATATGCAGCTGGCTCTCGCGCCCGCTCTACTTCCTGCTTCTTGGAACACCTGGAAGAGAATCTAAAATCTATGTAAACATATTGCCAGGATATGCACGTCGATGTTGTTGCTGTGGGTTGTATACAGCGAAATACGCAGCTGGCTCTCGCGCCGGCTCTACTTTCTGCTACTAGGAACATCTGGAGGAGAATATAAAATGTACATAAACATAATGCCGGCATATGTACGTTGATGTTGTTGCTGTGGGATGTATAATCGAAATATGCAGCTGGCTCTCGCGCCGGCTGTACTTCCTGCTTCTTGGAACACCAGGAAGAGAATATAAAATCTATGTAAACATAATGCCAGGATATGCACGTCGATGTTGTTGCTGTGGGTTGTATACAGCGAAATACGCAGCTGGCTCTCGCGCCGGCTCCAATTCCTGCTTCTAGGAATATCTGTGACAGAATGTAAAATCTACTTAAACCTAATGCCAGCATATGTACGTCGATGTTGTTGCTGTGGGATCTATGCACCGAAATATGCAGCTGGCTCTCGCGCTGGCTCTACTTCCTGCTTCTAGGAACACCTGCAAGAGAATCTAAAATCTATGTAAACATAATGCCAGGATATGCACGTCGATGTTGTTGCTGTGGGTTGTATACAGCGAAATATGCAGCTGGCTCTCGCGCCGGCTCTACTTCCTGCTTCTAGGAACACCTGGAAGAGAATATAAAATCTATGTAAACATAATGCCAGGATATGCACGTCGATGTTGTTGCTGTGGGTTGTATTCAGCGAACTATGCAGCTGGCTCTCGCGCCGGCTCTACTTCCTGCTTCTAGGAACACCTGGAAGAGAATCTAAAATCTACATAAACATAATGCCTGCATATGTACGTCGATGTTGTTGCTGTGGGTTGTATACAGTGAAATATGCAGCTGGCTTTCGCGCCGGCTCTACTTCCTGCTTTTAGGAACACCTTGAAGAGAATCTAAAGTCTACATAAACATAAAGCCAGCATATGTACGTCGATGTTGTTGCTGTGGGATGTATACAGCGAAATATGCAGGTGGCTCTCGCGCGGGCTCTACTTCCTGCTTCTAGGAACACCTGGAAGAGAATCTAAAATCTACATAAACATAAAGCCAGCATATGTACGTCGATGTTGTTGCTGTGGGATGTATACAGCGAAATATGCAGCTGGCTCTCGCGCCGGCTCTACTTCCTGCTTCTAGGAACACCTGGAAGATAATCTAAAATCTACATAAACATAATGCGTGCATATGTACGTCGATGTTGTTGCTGTGGGTTGTATACAGCGAAATATGCAGCTGGCTTTCGCGCCGGCTCTACTTCCTGCTTCTAGGAACACCTGGAAGAGAATATAAAATCTATGTAAACATAATGCCAGGATATGCACATCGATGTTGTTGCTGTGGGTTGTATACAGCGAAGTACGCAGCTGGCTCTCGCGCCGGCTCCAATTCCTGCTTCTAGGAATATCTGTGATAGAATATAAAATCTACTTAAACATAATGTCAGCATATGTATTTCGATGTTGTTGCTGTGGGATCTATGCACCGAAATATGCAGCTGACTCTCGCGCCGGCTGCAATTCCTGCTTCTAGGAACACCTGTGACAGAATGAAAAATCTACGTAAACATAATGCCAGCATATGTACGTCGATGTTGTTGCTGTGGGATCTATGCACCGAAATATGCAGCTGCCTCTCGCGCCGGCTCTACATCCTGCTTCTGGGAACACCTGGAAGAGAACCTAAAATCTACATAAACATAATGCCAGCATATGTACGCCGATGTTCTTGCTGTAGGATATATACAGCGATATGTGCAGCTGGCTTTCTTGAAGAATCGCATATTGCCGATATACGCGTAGAACTTTTCGAACACTGATAGCTTTGGTGTACATCCGATACGTTGTCGAGAGACATCCTAATAAGACCGCAGGTTTGAGGGCAGATCGAGGCAGGTAGGACGAGCGAAGTTCGAACTGCAACTGAAAACAAGCAGATGAAGAGAAAAGCAGCTGCCAGGCGCGCCCTTCCTGATCTCGATGCTCATCAGCGTGTAGCTCGCGCGCTGCTGCGGGTCACGTGACAGAGCTGACGAGAGAGGAGGGAGGATGCGGGTTCAAGGCGCTGGACACTGGACGCACCCCACCCCTCTATGAAAAAAAAAGAACAGAAAAACTCGCGGTTAGTTTTTCTTCTTTTTTTATCACAGTCAATGCTAGGGAGAGGGTGCACAAACCGCTGTACCGCTGTCCACGCGCTTTCCTCCTCACTTCGTATTGCCACAGAAAGTTTACTACGCCGAGTTTAAAATCTCGGAAAGGAGGTGAATTTTTTGCAGCACGCTTGAACCAAATACTCTGCTAAGTTGAATACATTTCAGTCCGCTCATTTGCATTAGACAGAACGCCTACATCGCCGAATCCAGCCCTGATGGTGTGGAGGTCCACGTCAGTCCATGCGCGTGTGCACGTGGATGCTCGTGGCGGTATCGTCTCCCATTCCACCTAAAGCCCCTTCATGTTTCAAAAGTAGCGCAAGGTTCGTTGATGCACGAGGCACGTGCAACGTGCAACTCTTGGGAAGATCATGGCGGCACAGCGCAGCAAAGTATTTGGCGCAGCGCTTAGCTATGCTTCGTCTCACCCTACGATGGACTAAAGGCAAACGCTACGGACCGCCAGACCCAATCACGAGCCCCTCAGAAATTGTGCGGTATTTCGCTTCGGTGCACGTATCGGATCCTGAGTTTCAGATCACTGATTAGGGGGCGGGTCGACAGGGGCTCGAATCGGAGACCACTGAGTGACTGAACAATTTTATATCGCAAAGAAAGCCACGACATATAGGCTCTTTGCAGCGTCGAAGCAATAGAAATGATAACGGCGTTTTGGGATTCGCAGCATCATTCGTCCACCCTTAAAGTTAAACGTGTCGTAGTATAGCGGGAAATGGGATTGGACTTGGCGGCCCGTGGCTTTGGCCTTTAGTCCATTGTAGGATGAGACAAAGTATAGATTTTAGACGCCATATGTTCTTCCTAAAAGTGGCGCGCGGCACGTGTATCGAGCATTTCCACAACAATGAATTTGGTATGTAGAGCAATCATCATCATCATCATTTTCCGCCCGATAGCCGAGACCTCCTCGACGATAGATGGCTCTCGTCAAGCCCAGAAATCCTGTGTGCGCCGAGGCTATTGTATTTGGGTGGAGTGGAATGTATTCCCCCTAGTAAAGTATTTGCGTGAACGCTGGAAATGGCGCGCGGCGGCCTGGAGCTCGGCTTGCGCCCGAGCGAAAGAAGCACCCAGCGCGAGCTCGCAATTTGACCGCTGCAACAGCGGGCCTGTTCTCGCAATGCTCGCTGTTCGTGCAGTCACGTGTTCGCGCGTTACCTTCGCTGAGGCTTGAATTGAGGCGAAACGGAGTCAACAAGTATATTCTTTCACGCGGTCGCGTCCTCTGCGAGAGAGATTCGAGCTAAGTAAATTGAGGCAACAAAGAACGCCAAAGTTTGAAAATTTTGTCAAAAATATCGGCTCGGCAACTTGGCATGGATACGTCAAAAGTGTTTATTGCTGTTGCACTATAAGCGAACATCAGCGCAATCATAATATAAATATAATTACTTGCATTATGCGGACGATTGTAAATCGATGAAGCGGCGCTTTGGGCTTTCCCAAAACAGGCTGCCACTGCTGAAACTGGCGTGCCCATGCCCCCGATCTGTACGTTTAGTATTAAACGGGTTCCGGAGGGCCGTTTGATTAAGCCGGTACAGCTTGCCGGTCACCAGTCACCAGTCTGTGCAACATGTTCCCCGGTTTGAGCAAACATGAAATAACTTTGCTCAAATGAGTGACCCATTTGCCCAGACAACTGACCCGTTTACCAAAGAAGTGACCTGTTTTGCCCAAATAGGTGACCGTGATGGCTCATACGGGGGACCCCTTTGAGCCATACGGGCGACCCTTTTGACAAACAGGTGGCCGGTATGGCTAAACTGTTAACGGTATGAACCCGTTTACGTTCATATATGGCGCCAAATGTTGTCTTGTTTTTTTCAGTAGGGCATGCCACCTGTGGCCAGTGTTGTAGCCGTTACCAAAAAAAGAAGCGAAATACGTTACTCGTTACTTGCAAATAAAATGAACGCGTTACCAACCTTGGTTACTTGAAAAAAAAAAAGCTTCACCGTTACTCCAAAATAAAGTGACACGCATTACTTTTGTGTCACTTCTTAAATTAAAAAATAACTTGTTTTAAGCTGCGACTTTACAGGTATGCATAAGCGTCATATATAAAGAAACATCATGTCCATTCAGAAAGTGAACATAATCAGCTTATTTCTTTTATTGTTCACCTAAATACTTGCGTGAAAAAGAAACGCGAGTAGAAGCCCAAAGCACGCAACATTTTATATAACTTGTCGTCTGGAAAAAAATGTAAGTGTATTTTTTTTGCTTTGGGTAGAATATGTAACGGGTAATGTAACAGCGTTACGCGTTACCCGAAATAAGTAACGTAAGTACGTTACCCGTTATAGGTTTGAAAATATAACGAGTACGTTACGAAGTTAATGGCAATTCAACGCGCTCCCGGTACCGCCGTTACTTCTAACGCGTTACCGCCGAGACTGCTGTTGGCTGTGGTCGCGTTTTTATTCTTTATGAACATGTACACACGCCCATCTTAAAATTGGGCATATTGTTCGCAAGTCTAAATGACACGCGGCACTATAGTCATGTGTGCTGAACGAAGACTGAAAATGTGTCCCAACATGCAGGCTGCTCATCCATTGACCAACTGGTCCCCGAGATGGTTGTGCATCAAGAACACTTTTCCGGCCAGTGCGACCAACTCAAGTGACAACATTTTTTTATGAGGTGCATTTTGCAGTCGCTTATTGTGCCATCTGCCAGCAAGCGCCTTTGCGACTTGTCAGGTTGATAAATAAAACTTAGATGACTGAAATATATTGACCTTTGTATTTTTTGCCTTTCCTATATCTTGATTTTCTCCTACCCCATGTTTGGCATTCCGAGACAGCACCTAAAATAGGTTAGTGTCTGGGGATGTCCACCGACGTTTGATTGACGTACTTATTTTGCTTTGATAATACCCTACTGGGGAGATTGTCACTACGGCCCGTCAGGATTTCTGAGTCGTCTTAATGACCCCTTTAAGATTTTTAAGAAAGTTTTGAACTATTAAGTTTTGTTGTGTGAATTTTTAAACAGCGGGATGTTATTCAGCCCCAACGGACGTCTGACGCTGAAGATGCGCAATTTAGTCAGTGCAGTACGTCTCCTAGCCTCGGGTCTTTAACGTGCATCGCGGTACGTAAAAGTGTTCAGAAAGGTCTGCGCCGTCTGTCAAAGTATTTCCCAGAGAGCATCGTACTCTCCGAGATTTACGAGGCGGGAGGCATTTTTGCTCTTTTGTAACGGGCGACGGCACGGAGTGGTCACTCAGTGTTGGCGTGCGGTGCGATAGGCCGTGCGCTTTGCGAGTTGTGCGATAGGCCGTAAACATCTGCTGGCACGCCTGTGGACAACAGCTGGTTACAAACGACACCAGCTGCTGAGCTGATTTCGCACGACACTGATGACGCCCTGTTTGCGTTCTCTCGGTCGAACGAAGGACGCTTTGGACCTCTGAATTTGACCAGTATGACGAAAAAAAGACATAAATTCACTTCGTTTGAATTCATTTTATTTAGAAAGTCGCAGGCGAATAAACGGTACAAAAATACATAAATCACTCACGGGCACATCGGCACACAAGCTTGTGAAGACACCCCGGTGAATATACACACCCGCGAGAATTCCCGAAATGATCGCCGAGCACATCCACGGCCTCTCTTCATCCGTATCCAAGCGTTCGGGAGCACAAGACTTCACCACCAACGAAATCACACCACCACCTGTCAACAATGTCGAATCGTGGAGGGGCCCATTCCTATTAAGGCGTCTGCTTTTGATGCGAACTGCTGCGCTTTCGTAAAACTTTCGCCGGGTCCTCAAAGATTGGGTTACTGTTTACGCCGGGTCTCAAGAATCTGCGTCGTCGAACAACTTCAATCAAGCACGAAATAACACCCATGGTACAATGTACTAGACATACGGCTATTTTTATGGCAGCCTTCCGCCACAGCGCTGTCCGCCATAGTACTATTATGGCTAGAGATAATATAACTCTACCAAAAAGATGGCAGACCGTAATCGCATCCCCCTTCATAGGCACAGCTGGTCAAACGCGATCCAGCAAATACACATAAAGATCAGTGGGTACAGCCCATAGAGTTATTATAATGTGCGCTAGAGGCTCAACTGGCGCTGGTATCTACGCGACTTCCGTGACTCAAATTGAAGCAGACAGCGACCCTTCGACCTTTGCGGTATTCCTGTGCATTCTTATGGGAAAACGCGCGTGCATTTTGTCTCTTCGCCGGAAAATAACACGGAACACTTTGGTCATTTGGGTTGTACCGAGTAGTGTGTACCTCGATTAACTTTGTAAAAGTGTAATTGCTTTAGCCAGCGCATTTTTCTTCATCAGTGAACGATGTTTAACTTCGCTACATTTCAGTCCCAAACATGTGTTCCGCAGCAGGTGTGTAAAAACAAGCGACGATTCAAAGCAAAATTAGAATCGAAAGGAATATGCAGCGTGTCCAAGGTTCGGCAGCATTCTGGTGACGTTTATATATCGCTAATATGCCAGTCCTCTCACTATATAAATGACCCCGTCGTGCATGAGCGGATAAAAACATTCAAAACTTAAACAATAAACTACGTGGGCTGTGAAAAGTGCCTCTTCGTTTTGTTTTCTCTGCCGGGCACCCTTAAGCATGCATGCAGACACTTGTTCTCAAAAATTTTGAGCGCGCGGGTGATATTTTGAACGTAGAACAAGCATCTTCGCGCAGAGCAGAAAAGATAAAGCGGTATTCACTTATGTAAAAGCGGAATATATTGCGTGGCGTTCATTTTATTTTGATTGTACATTCACTGGTAGCTACTGATCCAGTGCTACTGCGCAGTTCTTGCCGTCTCTCTTAGCTTTCCAGTTGTCCTTCGTTCGTTTGGCACGTATATCCCCCACGCTGAAAAGCGCCGACGTCGTGTTCGCGCTAACACTGTCCGACAGTCCACACGAATACACGTAGGAGGCCGTTTTAGCACCGTTTTTAATGCAACGAATCTGGAAGAAAAACGCCGTGACTGACCAATTATCTCGTCGGCCTGACTGAGAAATGTTCCAAGCTACCTAGTTCGTATGAATTATTCGGGATATTTGCTTTTATGATCGAGCGCAGGCAGAAAGTGCACTCCCTTTTCCCCTTAGAAATGCATTACCGGAAGTC